CTCTAGCATCAGTCAATTCTTTGTAACTCAACTGCTCATAAAATATGAGCCAAAAGAATTTTACTTAAAATGAAATGATGAAAACAAAGTGTTATATTTGCTAACCAGGTGTCAACAATAATCTAGAAAGAGTAGCATAGCAAGAAACTACTTAAATTTCTATACAAAAAAAAGAACAGCTTATTTTTTAACTATGCCACACATAAAATATGATCAAAGAGTGTCTTATTTCAAATTAAATATTGAAAAAAATTATATTGTGGTAACATTAATAAAGATGAAGATAATGAGAAAACTGGTTAACTTTCTAATTGGAAAAACAAGTTAACAAAAAAAAATATCTCAAGGAGATATAATTTTCCTTTCTAGACAATTGTATAATACAAAAAACACTTCTCAAATTCTTTACAGCATCAATTTTAAAAATATATAAAAGAAAAAAGTTGCTATGGTAATTTTACAGCAAGCTGTTACTAGAAATAATGATAAGTTACAGATTTTAAAATATTCAGACACTTATACAAACATACAATTTGAATTAAGCTAAGACAATATAAATTATTTATTAGCTAAAATAAAAATTTTAATGATTTTGATATTATATAAATCTGTTTGAAAACCTTAATGGACTCTGGTAATGTTAGCTTACAATGACTTAACATTATAAATCATTGACTTTAAAAACTACCATCAAACAAAGACAGAAATAAATACGGATATAAAAACAAACATTTTGAAGCGTTTGCATAAACGAAAGCAAAACAAAAAACAAAGTGCTTCCTCTTTTGATTGATTTTCCAATTTTGATGCTGAATTTTCCAAATAAATTTTCAGGCTTGTTTTCAATTTATAGACAATTTAAATTTCTTTCTCCATATCTATTGTGGTAATGGAAAATAGCTTGTTTTTGATCAATACAAAACAATGACAATTTTGTCAGCAATTTTTTAAACCTGTCATGTACAATATCCAAAGCAGCATGTACAGATAAATACATGCATATTTATATGTGTACATTTGAATGCGCATTATATATATATATATGTATGTGTGTGTGTGTATATAGATAGATACAGATATATATATTAACATCTGTATGTTGCTTGAAAGTAATGTTTTCTGAATTGGCCCAAGATTGAAGAGGTCGATGGTAATGGTATAGCAGTAGAGGTTATACATTCCAGCCAATAACACATTTTGTTAGAGGTAGCATAGCAGTCTGGGAAAATGGTGTCTGATATGAAAGTGCATCTGAAGCAAAGATGCCACAATGAATTGCTTCATGTAGAAAACATTACAATCATTAACATACATGAAAGCTTATAGACCATAGGTGTGAGCACAGTTATATATATGTTAATCCTGCTGCTGTTCCTGTAGAGTATAGGGCCTCAACTTCCTTACATTGATTTCTATAGCATGTAGATTTTTATCAGGTAAAATTGCTAGATGCAGACACAATTGGTTTTGAATTCAGAATTTGTTCTAAAGTGGTTGCCAACCAAACCTGGGGAGCCTAGTCTTTCCTGCTATTAGCTGGGGAGAGAAGAAATGGATTCATACCATTCCTAAGGGTATTTGTACAAAAGTGAATGAAATAACCTCAATGGAATTTGAACAAGCTAATCCCACAATCTGTGGCAATGACCACTAAGTGATGATGGCACACTCCAAATTTCAGCAGGTGAAGAAATTTAACTGGATAGAGTAGTAACAGTTGTGATACAAAAATCCAAAAGGGCACAGGAATAGTAAAATATGTTTTCTAGAAACTTAGCAAAGTAAAAATACAGGAAAATATTAGAAAGAAAGCAAAGAATACTGCACTGTTATATAATATCTAATCTCCTATATAGCAGTGAAGAGAAGATAAGATGTAAGAGAGATGTAGTTCTACTGACAAATATTAAGAATCTCTGGGAGAATCTTCTTGGTTTTCAAGTCTTTCCTGTCAGGTAGGTCTTTGTTAATTTATTGTTATTAGACATTCTTCTGGGGTACATCAGATCTGTAGTAAATATATATATAAATGATACCACAATATAAGGGTGCACTTCCAAATATCTGGATTACCAGTTCTTGGCAGCTGATCTATTCTCTGACCATTCAATGCCACTAAAACAAAGTTCATAATATTTCATCACCAATGAGCAGACACCAAGGTTGCTCCAATTCCGAGGACCAGTCATACGCTCAACAAGTCTCCTTGCTTCGAATGCCTGTTAGGTCTAAAACTCACTCTAGACCAAATGGAACTTGTTTATTGATGTTATCACTAAAGATGCTGGTTCAATGGTTGGTTCCTTGTATTGCTCTAGAAAATAACTAACTCCTGCTGCCATACACCTTCTTTACAAGAGTTAGATCAGAACAAGAATAGAGTATTGCTACCATATCTGAGAGGCACTACCCAGTCTTTGCTGTTCAGCCTTGAGTTTAAAAGCAATTATACAGCCTTATGGGTGATGAATTATTTTTCACAGATAAAACATTACTAGCTTCTCACTACACTATCCCTATTACTATAACAAATGTTCTAATGAATTGTATTCTTAAGTACCATCAGCTTAAGTCTTCATAGCTAGGACCCACCATGCCATGTTTACAGTGGCAAAGTATTCCCATTCCCTTCATATTCCCTTGGTTAGGATTAAGTTCTACTCAGAATTCTTCCTCAGAACTGTTACTTTGGTGAACAGACACCCAAGGGGATACTGCCCTAACCAATACAATCTTAACCTCTTCAAATGTAGGGTCAACTGTTATCTATCCTCCATATCCTCATAATATGCAGTTCCTGCTTCCCACTCTCTTACAACAATCTCACTCAGTAACCCTCTACTTTGAGTGGCCCTTGGGACTTGCTTTGGATGGACAAAACAATATCATGGATAGAACATGTGTGGAATGAGGAAGTCTTAAGAAAAATAGAAGTAACAAGGAAACTTATACTTCTCATCAAAAAGAAACAGTTAAAATTTCTGGTACAAGGAAAATTTAACATATACAACATATAATGCAGACAAGAAAACAGTGGGGAAATTTAATGTATAACAGGAAATCAGGAGAGCCATGATACACTGGAAACATTTTCAGTGATAAACAATCATAAAAATAGCCAAGTACAGACTGGAGCAAAATTGTTACATCAATGACTTTGTCAATATGTTGAGTAGTTTTCTTATAAATATGTGTTAAACTTTGAGACATTTTTCCCTACAGCATGCACTATGCCCATCCAAGTATCAGTTTGCTGTATTGATATTTACATGAGTGCGCCTGATTCTTTCACACTACCTGATCCATACATACTGGATCAAGTAGCATAATTAACTGATTCCAGATATCCTCCTGGCATAGATAATGGAATGTGAACAGTCTACCCTAGTGGATTGGATAAAGGGTTTAATTCCAATTTCTAGAAGGCTGCCAACTATGACATATTACATGTTATATAAAAAGCTTGTAATTACAATCATAAAGATAAATCTTTTTTGATCAGAGCTATAAATATTAGTTTTCACAGCTAATTCTGTTTATACTTAAAAATTAAATTTTGGTTTTAACACATTTTCCTTTTTAATTAATCTCATGAAATAGCAATTCTAATTTATAAACAAGAGAATAGTAAAGGCCTTGGTATTCTCAGCATCCTTCTACTTTATGATATGACTTGGCAAATGGAATCTTTAAACACATCTTATAACATGGCAGCACTGTTTTTCTCTTTAAGATTTCAAAATTCTCTACTCTTTTTGTATTTGCTACAAAAGAATGTTGACATGACCAGGTGTGGCATACTGAGTAAAAAATTCTATCTGCTAATTTTTTTTAATTATGCCAAGGTGAATAATGGTGAAGAAAAGAATAAAAGATTTATTTCTTTAACCTTTCAGCAAGTGAATACAGCACCTTCACAAATAAATAAATGCAAAACGAAAAGGAATGAAATTACATTTAAAATGCAGAACAATTTTTTTAAAACTATGTAAGTGGAAGTAAATAAACTCCAGGAAATATCTATGAAAAGATAGCTTCCAATATTATAGTAAAACAATGTAATGACAGTAATTCTAGTTATAGTGATATTTCCAAGGAACATTACTGACAACAAACTGACAAAAGAAATGTTACTTATAAATATAATGAATGTAAGAACTATGATCAGTAACATGGAATTTTCACAGAAAACAAAAACAAAAAAAAAATAATGAATATATGGCAATAAAAAAATCTAAAGAGATTGGAATAAAACAGAAAGAATTATTAGAAGATTTTAGACAATGGTAATATTGAGATTAGCCACTTCCTTATAGGGAAACATTTGTCATTCACTGACCAAAGAGTTAGCATTACTGTCAGTTGAAATTTATAAGATCTTTATCTTAAAACAGTTTTTCAGGAAAATAGGTTTCTCAAGTCCACTGTTATCATTCTTTCTAGCATTGATGGAGTTTTCTTTTCATTTCAGCTTTTGCTGCTGTTGGAAAATCTTTGGGTGATGTGATTTCTGCTATTTGGTAAAGTTCTTTGTTTATGAGTTTGTAGCGCCAGTCCACAAGGTTTGAAGAAGAATGTTTGCTTGAAGCTATTTTCAATCATTGATATGAGAAAATGGTTGTATACAGCTGGCAGAATTAGAAATGAGAAAGAGTAATATAAAAAATATAATTCAGATTCAGAAGTTTTAATTTAACTAAAAGACAAAGTAACTGTAAAGATAGAATTGATTTGTTTTTTTATGGCTTATCAAGCTTTTGCAGGTTATTTAAATGTAGAAAATATTTTTAGATTGTATGAATTTTTTGCAGATAATAATGATATACTGATAATAGTCCTACTAATTAATCCATAGCTGGGGGGAAGAAGAGGTGGATTCATACTTTTCTCAAGGGCGTTTGCACCTAAGTGAATATAACAAACCTAACTGAAATTGGAATTCAGTTCTCTGATTTCCAGTTCTGAGCCATTATCCATTACACGACATGCACATCTAAGCTTATAGCACCCGGTCTCTCCAAACAGCCACCCATCTAAATACTGGCCAGACTCGACATTGCTTAACTTTGGTGATCATATGAGAACTGGTGCTTCAATCTGATGTGGCCCAGTAAAGATAGGAGGAAATGCCTAAAAGAAGAGATGCAAAAAAATGCCTAAAAGAAGAGATGCAAAAAAATGCCATGGTTAATGCTGTTATTGATTTGGATACAGGAGGAATGATTCTTGGAAGAAAAATAAAGGCAATGGTAAGTGCAAGATGCAGTATGATAAAGAAGCTAAGAGATGAAGGGGAAATGATCAAAGGGACAAAAAAATAGATTCAAGTGGAGTACAAGACTTCAAAAACAGGAAGATGAAAACCAGAAACAGTAATATATCAGCTATCAAGTGTAAAAAAGAAAAAAAAATCAGTAGATCATCTCAGGTAAAACTGTATAAGATAAGCAAATGAAATAAATCACAGAGTAACGGTTATCAGCACAGAAAATGGAATCAGTGAAACAAGTTCAAATCCCTGTCTAGTCTGTTGCATTCACTTTCGTACAAATGCTCTTGGAAAAAGTCTTATTTTATTTTAATCAAGCCACTAAGATACAAGGGGTTACAGAGGATCAAAATAATAATGAAGGAAACTGAGAAAATATAACAGGTAAAAAGAACAATAACAAGAACAGGATTCAAGGAGACAGAAAATAATGACTGATGTTGGATTTAATTTTTTGTAAATTGTAGTTGACAGGAAAGCAAGAAGCTGGAAGAGATTTACACGTAAAAGAAGTGCAAGAGAAGACACTATTAGAATAGAACTTACAGTTACATTTAACACAGTTTTGTAATATCAACAAACACTCGTTGCAACTTTTGTAATGTCAACGAATACTTGTTGTCACTTCCATAATACTTGTTGTAGTAGAGACTTTGTAATAACAGATACAACTAAAGTAATGCTGTTGAACAATACTGGTGTCAGATGCCTTCAAATAACACTTGCACTAATAGTACTTGCTTGACAATACTGGCTTTAATAGTAAACTGTATAGATCAGTATAGTGAAATAGTATAGAGAAATAGCAATCCATATAGTAATAGAGGATAGAGTAGAAATAGTGATCAGTTAGATGTCACGTTACTTCCTATGTTTTTCCATCTTACGTGTTTCCTCCATGGACACGTGATCCACTTAATTCAATAATGGGATTGCCTGTGTTTGCTCTCTGGCAATCCGTGTTCAAACTCCAGTGTCAGCAGCGACACTTTATTCCTATATAACACTCAGGCACAGGGAAACTACATTATGACAATGGAAAGTATTATTTCATCTTTCACTTGTGCCCTATAGATTAAAAAGCAAGGTCTATTCAGTTCTCCAAACTTAGGTGGCAACCAGTCTAAGAGAAGGATTACTCTGAATTCAAAACTGTTGCAAATGAAACAGGAAATCTTTCCACTATCTTTCCTCAAAAATCAGGGATATCTGGAGATAATAAAGAAAGCTATGGAGAGTCATGATCATCTTCATCCTGAAGAGATATGGCATTCTTTTAAAAATAAAACATAAATTTACAAATTAGTGATACTAACTAAGAATTCCTTAGTCTGAGAGGATGTGGAGAAGGAAAGTTGTATTATGGTAGCAATCTTCCAAACTGGAAGCACTTTCCTGTTTTAAAAGTCAGAATTTGTAATCTTCAGTTTGAACTCTGATTCCTGTAAATAATAGGAAATACGTAACCGTTTCTTTTATGCACTAAGTTCATTCAGAAGTTGATTAACATATTCACTGCTCACTTGGAAATTTGAACACTTACATAATGCCATGTTTTTGGTGGAGTTACCATTATAAATTTCTATGTAAGACTACTTATATATTATTTTGGCAAATAAAATTTAATAATACACATGCTGCTACAATGCTTTTACATTCAGACAAGTACACTTAGGTATAAATTATATTTAAATCTGAATATAATGTCAACTATGTTTTTGTTTAATTTACCATTAGTAACTGTCTGATAAGAATTCTTATGCTTTGTGTTGCTAAATAAAATGAAATTTATTAATACATTCACATCTATCCCAGATACTTAAAATTGTTGCATAATGTCATCTCTGGTTTTTAAATGAGTTATCATTTAAAATTGCTATATAAAAATAATTAGGCTTTATTTCTGAAAATTTAACTCAGCTTTTTTAAATAGCAAAGTAGACTGAGTTCTTTAGTCTTGGTTGGCAATCAGTTTAGGTGGTTCTGAATTCAAAATCGTAGGAAGGTTGTTTGGAGATTTTGCAGCACACTTCACTATTTCTTTCTTATTGGAGAAAAAGTGTGGATGGTTCTACACAAGCCTTCTTAACTATAATTAATCCAAATGTGTAGATAGTTTCCATGTAAAGTCTTATTCAGTGAGCTCACTTCAGGGAAAAGACAACAAGCTTGCTTTCTTCATAGATATAAGGACCAACTCAAAACAACACTGAAAGCCACTGGACTTGAGCCTAAATCATTTGAAACACAAGCACAAAAACGTACCAACTGGCAATGTTCCCTCACAATCAGAACCCAAAACTTTGAGGCCATCAGAAAAGAAAAGGAAGAATTCAAATGACAAATAAGAAAAGCTCAACAAAATTGGCCTTACTATACTCCAAAATTACTATGAAGTCAATGCTATTGGCTCTTCCATGCAAGAATTGGTCTACTTAATCAATCCATCATCATAAAGGAAGTGATCAGAAAAGAAGAAATTAAATTCTTGAATAAAAGAAGTAGTCTGGTGGTTCCATTCTCAGAACCAAATTGCTCAGCTTTTATATGTTGTAATCACTGAAAGAGTCCTAACACTTTGGTAAATAAAATGAAATTTATTAATATATTCACTACAACCTTGAATATATGATTCTCTATAATGACATTCATGTTTTTGTAGACTGAATAGGAAAAATTCTACCTAAGACAACTGATATTTATTTCAATAAATAAATTTAGCATTAATTGCTAGCTTGGATATTTGAAGCCTTATAAAGTGATATATGTTTTGTAGAGTTAATATGTGAAGATATTATATCTGACCACTTCTATGTACACAACTTTGAATCTTTTGTAGCTGTAAATGATGTTTGTCTTTTTGCTAGCCTATCCTTCCCTGTTCTGCTTTCCATTTAAACAACCTCTTTAGGTAGATTACTCACTGTTTCCCTCTGTCCCTCTTAACTTCAATATGTCCTGAGAGTGTCAAATTTTCCAAACCTTCTTTCCACATTATGTGCTTCAGAAATTTCAATTGTATCTTTCTGATCCTAAGTACAAGTGTTCTTTTAGATTTAGTTCCCATTTTCTTTTAAAAACTTGAAAAACTTGACATACGAAATAGTGAAGACAAGAAAGAACAGCAGAAGGAAACAGAATAACATACTCTAATGTGCTTGCATAAATGGATGGCAGAAAATGAACTGGAAAGGATAGTAAGGAGACAAACATTACTTAGAGAAATGAAGTATAGGAAGTTGTGAAGAGCCATGATCACCCACATCCTGAAGAGACATAAGAATGAGAAACTGCTAAACAAGATTATTTATACTTTTGTTTCTGTAAATAAAATAAAACTAAATACTGTTATCTTGGATATAATGTCATTTATGTTTTTGGTAAAGTTACAATTAAATAATTTTGAAATAGGACTGCTTGTACTCTATTCTGGTAATTATAATGAAATTAACATGATCACTCCTATCTTGGTTATTTAATCCCTTTAAATCTATTTATTGTTTATTTTAGTAAATAAAATTTAACATGATCACTCCTACCTTGAATATTCGAACCATGATTTGCCATTAAAGATTTTGTTAGATTTATCATTATTAATTGGCTACATAATGCAACTGATGCTTTTGATAAATAAAATATATTCATCAAGAAGGAATTATCCTATTATGAATTCTTAGCACTCAAGTTGTAGAGATCCATGGTAACTTTCATTCTGAAGGGACACAGTTTCTCAAGACTATAATACTGCTCATGTAGATATCTATGCCCAATAGAATAACAAAACAGGAATGTGTATGCAATTTTAAAGAGTCAAAGCAAAAGCCAGACAAGAGAAGAGAATAAAAGCACAATAATATTTAAAAAACAAATGGATGAAAATGAAAAATTAGCTTAGTGACAATTTCAACCAATACATAAAATATGTACTGCCTGATTACAAAATTCTGAACTAGATTTTATGTTTTTATTCTTACATCTGAATAATGACATTCTTTATTTTAAGCTACAGAAGAGAATAAAATAATGAATAGATGAAATTACAAAAGACAATCTGAAAAAATAAAAATAAAAAACGTTATAAAATTATCGAAAAGAGAAGAATAATTCTACAATGCAATTTACGCGGCTATTTTAACTAACTTATTCTTTGCCCATCACCACCACTGAAAATTATATATATATATAACAAATTTATTTATAATCCAACATTTTAAACTTCAAATCTAAATAAAGTGGATACCTATATTTGAAATAAACATCTCATTTTTATTATTACTTTAAACAGAAACTTTAATAAAGGAAATGTGCTCTCTTAACAGGTATCAAACCTTCGATTTCTACTGGAGAGCATATTTTCTTTATTAAGTTTTCTTGCATAGGGTGATAGACATAATATTCACTGTTTCAAGTAAAGATAAAAATGGGGCATCTATTTCAAATATGAGTATCCACTATAATAATGTTTGAAGTAATAAAAATATATATTCTAATGCTATGTCACTTCAGGATGCAGACAATCATGGCTCTACACAGATTCCATTTCTTTATTATTTAGGAACTGCTATGCCTTCTTTTTTTTTATCAATTCCCCCCAAGCAAGGCAATAATGCTACTTGGTTGCTTACTTGAAGACTTTCATGAGGGGATTGAGGTGAAAGAAAATAAAGGACTAGAGTTCAGGAAGACAGATGTTGAGATTGATATTCCATAAATTTTTGAAGATTGGATTATCAGGAAAGGAAAGAACAATAAAGGACTAGAGTTTAACAGTAAAAAGATCTATTTGCCACATACTTAACTTCATGTTGTCCAAGACCAAGGAAAAAAAGCTCATCAGCA